AGACAGTAACAAACGGAACCTGCCAAGTACATGCAGAGACAGGTGGCAAATCACAAATGGGAAGGTAAACAGGGCTGCTCTAGCCCTGGCTGGTGTGGCTCAGTGGGCTGGAGCATTGTCCTGTACACAAAAGGTGGCAGGTTCAATTCCAGTCGGGGCACATGCCCGCATTGTGAGTTCAGTCCCCTCAGGGCATGTGCCAGAGGCCACTGATCAATGCTTCTCTCTCATATTGTGTTTCTCTCTTTCTCCCTTCCTCTCTCTAAAAATCAATTAAAAAAACAAACAAACAGGAACCTAAGAAGACAGAGTATTTTGAATAAGAGTTTCTCCTCTGGAATTGCTGGGCTGGTAGCAACTAGAACATGACTCTTTCTTGATGTTCACTGCATCCCTTACCCTCAGAGGGCCTCCGTTTCCCCATTTGTAAAATGAGTGGTTACACAAATGATCTCTAAGAACCCTTCCAGTTTCATGTGAGAGGTGCCCATCCAATTATCACATGGATGGAGGGCCTTACCAGAACCAGATGAAATACAAGCTATAGAAGCAAGTCTAGCTCATGTGACTGGTTACTGAGTAATTCTGATACTGCGTCAATGCCCCCACAAGTCCTATGACTAAACCACACCAGTCAGAAATTTCCACGTGTCCCGTCAAGGATGCTGGGCCTCTTGACCATTAATTTTGCCTGGGACCATACATACCTCAGGCCACTGCAGAACCTGGCCTTCAGTTCCAGAGTTAGTCGTATGAAGGATGAGGCAGCTTGGGGAAAGTGGGAGGAAAGCAGAAAGCGGTTTAAACCAGATGCATTAGAGATTCCCAAGTCTGGGGGGCACCGAGGAGAACTATGTTAAAGTCATGCAGACCAGAGCTCAAATTTTGCTCCTTCCCTATCTAGGACTATGACACTGGAGCACTTATTTAACTCCTCCGAGAATCAGTTTCAATATCTATACCCCTCAGGTGGCTGTGAAACGGAGATAAAAGCAGGATTCTAAACAAGAACATCAAGAGCTCCCACTGCACTAGCTCCAATGCTGGGGAGGATCTGTATTCTGTCCTGGGGCTAAAGCATATAGCAAGCACTTCATCCCGCTGAGTTTTACAGCAACTTTCTGGGATAGCAGTTTAACCCATGACTCCCGCAGGGAGGGGGCGCTCAGCTTGTCTGCTGGAAGGGCTCCTCCTGGCCCAGTCTCTCAGGGGCCCAAAGTTTCTCTACCCCCATTACTCCAGGTCTCTGCCCAACTCTTGGCTGGCAGTGCCTGCTTCCCTCTTCTCTCCTGCAGGTTGGGCCCCTGATCCTGTTCTAGCTCACTTCATGCTGCATACTCTATATCTCCCCATACACAGCCTTTCTCTACATCCCTTGTTCCCCACCACTGCCCCCCAGAGATTAGCACATCTGAAGCCCTACCCATCTAGCACACCAAGACTGGATCCTCTTGGCTCTTGAAGTATGGCAGGCAAGAAGAGTGGGTGAAAGGAAGGAAAGAAGTGTGTGCTGGCTGTCACAATGACTAAGGGGTACAGTCATTCAGGAAATCTACATGTTATCTCACTTCATTCTGATGATCATCACCATGTTCTAACTGAGGGCATTGGAGATAAGAAAACTGATTTGCCCAATATCAGTAAACAAGTAAGGGATGAAGTAAGAATCCCAACCCACATGTGCTAACAACAAAGGTCCTGCTTTTTTCTCTCTTCCATACAGCCCCCCACCCTCTCCTGGAATTGTGCAGGAGTCTCTCATCTCTCTCTCTCTCTCTCCCTTCCTCCCTACCACTCTCTCTAAAAATCAATGGGAAAAATATCCTCGGGTGAGGGTTAACAACAACAAAAATGACCGAGAGACTAAAATAAACAGATGCAAGGCCTGGAGAAGGCTAGAGTCAGGAGCCACTTGGGGTCAATTTTAGGAAGGCACTTCCGTGTAGAGCTAGACAGCAGCTTCACACAGGGCTACCGCTCCCCTAGAAGGTATCTGAAAGCATGTGGGAAGTTTCTCAGTTGACACAATGACTGGGGGTACTTTGGGCATTCGGTGCTCAGGCATAAGAGATGCTGAACATATCGTGAGGTCTGAGGGAATATGGAGTATGACAGTAATATGGAAAGAGGTGTGTTGAGGGCTTTGAACTGGAACCTCGAGGACACTCTAAGAGAAGTATCAATAAACTTGAGAACTGCTTTTAAGGACGTTGTTTTCTGAATGATATTCCCTTCCACTCAACACTGGCAGAGCAGATTTGATTCTGAACAAATACGTAAACTTCCCACCCACAGGTTATGCTCTTTGAGCATCTGAGCAGCTGCCTAAGGTGCCTGCCTCCCTCCCAACGTCCACTCTGGCTTTCTCCCTACCGAGCTTCTTGGAGAACTTCTCCTTCATGTGGGGAACGATGACAAAGAGGCTGTGTAGAATTGAAAGGAAAACTTCCATCAAGGCTGGATGAGTGGCCTGCTCCAAGTGCCTCTGAAAAGAACCAGGAGGGAGAACACAGCCCACCAGGGATGAGCCTCTGAAGAAGAAAAATCATTAGCAAAACTGGCATCAAATCTAAAATGGTAGACTAACCCTTTCAATGGAAGGAAACTGAAGTCACAAGCCTACATCCAAGGCTTATGATCCATCACTTAATAGTGTCAGGTACTTTACCCCTCTGGGCCTCTGTATCAAAAAGGGTGAAACAGGAGTAACAACAAGTCCTACCACCCAGAAACAAATGAGATCTGGTGTGAGAGGTACTTTCTAAATGATAATGCTGAGTGACGCCCATTTCCTATTACTATAGCCATAGTAATAATAATACAGTTTACAAACCGCCTTCACATTTATTTTTGATGTGATCTTTGAACAGTCATGAGACAGACTGACGTAGTAGACAGAGCTCTGAATTAAGAGGAGAGAAACATGGCCCGGCTGGTGAGGCTCAATGATTAAACCAGGAGGTCATGTTTTAATTCCCAATCAGGCCACATACCCAGACTGCGGGCTCAATCCCCAGTATGGGGCATGCAGGAGGCAGCCAATCAATGATTCTCTCTCATCATTGATGTCTCTATCTCTCTCTCCTTCTCCCTTCCTCTCTAAAATTAATAAAAATATATATTTTTTAAAAAGAGTAGAGAAACTTGGGTTCTAGTTCAAGCTCTGCACCAGATCACTATGTGTCCCTGGGTCATTCCCCTGCTCCCGCCCCTCCCATCCTTCTCAGTGTCTCGGTTCCCTATCTGTAAAGAAGATCTGGGACCTCAGAGACATGACTCTTAAGATACTGTTCCTTTGGTTTTTAACCAAGTTTAAAAAAAAAAAACCCTTAGAAAATACATAAAGTGTGAAATACAGAAAAGTAGAAAGCAAGAATAACAATTCTATGGTCTATTCTAGATCTAGCTCTAACACTTTATAAATCTAAGAGGAAGGCAGAGCAGATGAGGACATCAATGTGAATTGCCCAAGTGTTACTGTTTGTGTGTGCCAATCAGGGCTACAACCCATGGCTCCTACAGTTACCAATCTGAAGACCTTGGCACGCTGGCTCACAGGCCTCTTCAAGGAAAAGCGGTTCTATTCTGTCAGACCCAGAGGATGGCCCTGGCTGGTGTGCTCAGTGTTTAGAGCATCAGCTCACACAACGAAGGGTCTTGGGTTCGATTCTTAGTCAAGGGCATGGACCTGGGTTGCAGGTTCCATCCCCAACCCTGGTTGGGGCATGAGCAGGAAACAACCAATTGATGTTTCTCTCTCACAGTGATTTTTCTCTCTCTTTTTTTCTCTCTTTTTCCCTCGCTCCCTCCCCTCCCCTCTCTCTAAAAATCAATTGGGGGGGGGGGGGGGCGGGGAACCAAACCAGAGGATGCCTCCCTGCTGCCACCTACTGTTCCCAGATGGCCATCCTGACTAACAGGGGCTCTTCAAAGGCTCACAGATGTCCAACCCTCAACCAGGACAGGCTTCACTCAATGTCAGCTGGGCAGTCAACAGCTCTGGACCCAGATCTTCCTCCATCTCCAGCTCAAGTCAGCTCAAAATGAAGCTCTTCCAGACCAGGTCTGTCTCCAGAGTGACCATCTCTCACTACACAGAACACGTTTGTGTTCCTTAGTCTGGATCACAGACATTCATCGCTATGCTTTACTATGCAGGACACATGGGTTCAAACCTCAGTACCGTCATGCACTTGCTTTATAACCATAGGAATATGACAATACCCTCTTTAAACTGGGGGAAATTATAGCTCCCTCTCACAGGGTCATTGGGATGATCAAATTAGGTAATGAATATAAGACATTTATCACCCCATAAACACTACCTATTTATTTTATTATTACTGTTTTCTACTTTTTCTCAAGAGGCATCTATTAGTGTTACAACGAAATACTACACTTTGTTTTTAAAACCAAA